AGCTGGGAATTTGTAGAAACTTGTTCTTGTAGGCTGAAAGTAAGCGTTGTAGTGGTTCACGAACGAAGACAAATTTAAAATAAGTTTTAAGTCGCTCGTTCCTTTCTTCCTCAGTGTAATTGCTTAAACGTTTCCACATAATCCAGCGGTTGATTCCTGGCTTAATTTCGTGAGATTTTGCAATCACTCTTTTCCATGTCGAAGTTCCTACCTTGGGCACTACGCAGTAGATGAATTTTAAGTCATCGTCGACTGCAAGCATGTGCACATCTTCTGTTCCAAGACTCTTGTTGCAGGTGTGTTTACGACAGTATTCTTGAAGGTGTTGCTTTCTGGCTGTTTGCCTTTCTTCGGCAGCCTTGTGCGGGTTATTGAGTTCTTCCTCAACTTGTCGCTCGCTGGGTGTTTGTCTTTCTCTGCGACTTACGTCCGAAAGATTGAGATTTCCCTTAACTTGTTCATCTCTGGCTCTTTGTCTTTCTCCGGGACTTATGTCTGGAGCATTGGGGTTCTCCTTAACTTGTTGATCTCTTGCTGTTTGCCCTTTTTTGACTGTTATGTCCGGGGCATTGGTGTTTTTCTGCGTTAGGAAAAAATGTAGTTATGGGTCATTAACTTGAACAAGTGTTGGTGTGTTTAGTTTGCACTACGTTAACCTCTTTTTTGGTTGTTCAAGGGATTAAATGTTCGTCCCAAGACAATACCCATGGGGAATTTTAAAAGAGCAACTTCGTAGATGCTGCATGTTGGCAAACTTTTAGTTTTGTCTTTCACTATCGGAAATTTAAACCAACCTTGTTGCTATTTAGTTTATTTCTTGAGATCTGTTTTCGTTTTTCTTTTTTATGGCCTTGTTTTGTTTGCTTGTTTGTTTTCCTATCTTACTAAGCGATTGTTTTAAGCTTTTCTTGTCATATGTTTGCCGTTTCAATATTTGGTCTGATAATTTGCATAAAACAGATTCTTTACAGTTAATGATCTTCCTTAATCTCATCTGTCCGTTGACTAAGGTTTTCTTATTTCTTTATTTCTTTATTTCTTTCTTTCTTTATTTCTTTCTTTATTTATTCATTTATTTATTTTTTTAAATTTTTTTTATGTGACAATGGTAAATAAGGTTTTGATCAATTCATTTTCTTGTTGTTTAACTTATGGCGAAGCAAAGGAGGCTGTAGTTACTTTCAGTCCTCGGAACCCTGTCTTTTCCTGTGGAAAAGTAGCTGAAAATGACAAAAAAGAAACATCTATTAAAAATAGTGCATATTGAAAGATGTAGATGAGTTTTTCAAGCTCGCCGTTCCTAATCTGTCTTAATCTTTCCAAACGTAAACAGCTATGCTCCAGCCAACTGGCTTTTTTGTACTCTGCTAAACTGTTATTTTTATGCTTTCTTTGATGTGACGTGATGTTATTTTCTGTGTCGACTTGGCAAAAAGGCGTGAGGTCAGGATGGCTGGATGTTGGCCGAGTTCTATTTTTTTCCGTTCATCTGGAAAAAAAAGAAAAGAAACGACAACGTCGTAAATATGTTCAGCCATCTTGACCGAACAAGCTTAGTCAATAAAGGATTTATTATATGGAAAAAGAATACTGTTTTCTTCCGGGACACAGCGGTTAGTTCTGAGCGGGCAATATGGCGCTATCTTGCGCTAGATTAGCATATATGTTACACATCTAAAAGCCAACAGCCAGTTGTTTGAGTGGCAGAACTTAGTTAATTCATCCATGCAAACAATGTTGCAAGGTCAGCTGTAAAATTACCGTCGACTAAACGCTACCGAGGAAACTCGATTCGATATTCAGATTGTAAGCTTTGACAAGTATTTATTTGTACTCCCCTTTTTTACTGTTTCGAAGGGTAAATATATT